ACATAGAGAGAAATAGCGACAACACACAACGTGAAGGGTAGTTGGCCGCAGCCAGATGTGACTCAGAAAAGCATAGCACGGCGACAGGGAGAAAGAAGGCAGAGAGAACACAGGACAAAAGCGAGTAGGCCATGACCTACACAAAGTTGCTCATAGTCCAAGGAGCTAGAACGCTGATCTGGTGAACGAAACGTAGCCGGTAAGACGATTCTACTGGGACCCTTCCGACATGGTACGTGGCAAACGCATTCGTTCATTAACACAATCATACAGACTCAACTGATATCGCACATTGCACAATACGTCAATTAGTAACTAAGATATGGATATTGGGAGATGGCGGACATTACACAGTACCGAATGCACCCATCCATAGAGACTGTTATACTCATCTACCTGTCAGTCCTTTCATTTTTCTTCTTTTTTTGGTGCGTTTTATGTCCCCATGACGTCGAGACCTCAGGTCGGCTGAGGGCAAAAAGCCTCACCATCACTATGCTCCCACTATGCAATTTTTTTGTCTTTGCCTGTGAGCTGTGATCATTGTAAAAAAAATATGTAGGACTCAGTGAGCAGTCACGTCTCGATGACCGATCACGATCCCCGTGACCAATCAAACAGTCACAAATCCCCGAAGAGCAGTCATAAAGTCACACACCAGTTTGAATCCCGATGACCAGTCAGAAACAGCCGCGACTTTCTCTGTGAACGGTCACAGGATCCACGTCAAAATATTACGACTCAACTGTAGGCATTCACGCGTTCAGCATACTTTTTTCCTTCACAGGTTTCAGAAGTGAGCAAGAAAGATTTCGATCAACTCTCGATCTCCGCGTAGTTTACTTGTAGCTCGAGTCTGGTGTGTGTGGGCTCCTCTCCAAAACGAAGGGTGGTCGAAAATCTTGCAGGCTTCTGATAGAATCTCTTTTGAGAGGACGTTCTGGCTAGTAGGTTGTGCTATTCATCATATTTGAAGAACAAACTTCGTCGTTCAGAAAAGCTATTTCGGAATATTTTCAGTCATGTAATTTTTGCATGCCGATCTTGCTAGAGCAGAGACTGACTTCAACTGATCCAGCATGCAAGCAGCACTCGATTTGTGTTTTTGGAGAGGATGGGTGACAAGATTACGGAGTCAGAAGTGGACATCGTCGACGATGCAGAGACGAAAATATAATGAAGATGGAAATGAAAATATGTTCATTTCCAAGAAGGTACTGAGTACATCAAGCACCTTCGTGTGTGTAGCTCTGTCTTTCTTGTGGAAGACTCCACAGAAAAACAATGTCCAGCTTGTTGAAACTGAAACTGCCTCTCAGTTGAAGTCGTTCAGGAAGACATCTATTCAAGACATCATTGATCCATTCTCAAGGACCATCGTAAGAAATTAAATCAAGTCATGTTTATCGATAAGAATGGCGAACTAGACCAGAGAAGTGTGAGTGTCTTGTTTTGACTGCAGGAAACTGTATTTCAATATTCTGGCTCAACGTAGTGCTTACGCAGTTTACTGCTTCGAACACATCTTCATTTCTACTCCCAAAATAACTCTGTAAAATTTTATTGATGCAACATTATGCATCATGGTCTTTCTCGTTGTGCTGCTATAACGTGTATAAGTACATGCATACGAGTACTGTGTACCGTTTACTGTCTCCTTGTCAGTGTTTTTGGGCGATCCTCCACATCTTCATTTGTCTTCCAATTATTAATTTTATAGAAATATTCACTCACTTCAACTTCTTTTGATTGCTGGTGCGAATGTAGCCTGCGATGCCTGCTTGTTAGTGAGAGTGCACCAGACATGTATCGATATGTATGTCTGACGAGATGTTCTTGAACTGGCATGCTGCTTTGCTTAGATAAGGTTTAGAATTGGGTGTTCAATGGCCTGGAGGAATTAATCATGTTTGCGATCAGTATCACCAAGAGTACGGTTCTTCCGTCTACGCATCTCTTCTTGGCTTGTGGATTGGTTGAAAAGAGATAAAATAATAATACAGAAGTACTTGTGTCCAAGTGTCGTCGTGAAAACAAGTTCTACCTCCGTAACTTTGTCCGCAAGGTCACGTGAATCTAGCTGGTAGTCCCGCTGCCTATTTGTGTGTGTGTGTGTGTGTGTGTGTGTGTGTGAGTAAGTGTGCGCGCGCATGTGTGAGTGTGTGTGTGTGTGTGCATGCGTGAGAAAGAGAGTGTGTGTGTGTGTGTGTGTGTGTGTGAGAGAGAGAGAGAGAGAATGTGTGTGTGTATGTGTGTTTGTGTGTGCGTGCATGGATGTGTGTGTGTGGATGTGTGTGTGTGTGGATGTGTGTATGTGTCTCAAACTCTCTCTTCTACTCCCCCCTGTCTCGGGGGGGGGGGGGCGGCGTGGCCAAGCATTTGGCAGCTGTACACCAGGCCAGGTGTGTGTGTGTGTGTGTGGATGTGTGTGTGTGTGTGTGTCTCAAACTCTCTCTCTTCTACTCTCCCCCTGTCTCGGGGGCGGCGTGGCTAAGCATTTGGCAGCTGTACACCAGGCCAGGTGTGTGTGTGTGTGTGTGATGTAGAGAATGAATGACATATGTGCGTGTGTGGGAGAGAGAGAGAGATTTAGAGAATGAGTGTGTGTGTGTGTGTGTGTGTGTGTGTGTGTGCGCGCGTGTGAGTGTATGTGAGAAAAGGGAGAGAGTGTGGGTGTATGTGTGTGTGTAATGGTGTGGGCATGTGTGGTCCCCAGCTCTATTCCATGTCATTCACGCTGGAACTGCTGCTGCATAGCCCCAAGTCTGAAGACTGGTCATGGGGGGTTTGTGACTGTTTGACTGGTCACGGGGACCGTGATTGGTCACGGGGCCTTGACTGGTCACTGAGTCCTACAAATAAATAAAAAATAAATAAAAAATAAAAAAACTCGAACTGGTCTGATGTCGAAGTTCCTGATCCGACAGACGGTTGGTGATGACTTGCAGTGGCTCATACTGTATTCGCCTCTACCTACCAGAGGACGTCAGACGAGTGTGGGTTTTCGCCATTGGAAAATGTAATTCGTCTGCAACGTTGCCTAAAAGGCCCAGCCAAGGCTGCCGCCGTAGCGAAGCTCACCGTACCGGAGAACCTGTGTGGTGTGGGTGCGGGGGGGGGGGGAGTGTGTGGGGTGTGCGGGGGCCAGTGTGTGTGTGTGTGTGTGTGTGTGTGTGTGTGTGTGTGTGTGTGTGTGTGTGTGTGTGTGTGTGTGTGTGCGGGGGGGATGTTTGTGCTAACACAAGTGTGCGTTTCCTTACTTCATTGCGCAGTGACTTCTCCCACAGGTCGCCACCTCAACACAGTCGGATGTTATTGTACCCAGTCTTCTCGACTCCAGTCATAACAGCCTGCATCACCGGTACCAGCGGCGCCATGCTGTGTTGCGAAGAAAAACGCTCCACTCTTCAGGATTCATTGTTGCGGCAATATCTTTCATTGATAATGCTACGTAATCATGGTAATGCCCAAGATCAAAGCAGTCGCCAGGATTATGACAGTACTCGCTGAGTACAGGTACGTGCGCCCTACCAGCACTTTCACACTAGTCGACAGCAGACGTACTAGACAAAGGCCGTGTGCGGATGCCCAGATCAGCAAATTGTTAGCACTTTCCACATAGTGGCACGCACAGTAGCAATCGGCGTGGCTACTACTACTAGTCTCCCTGAGCTCCGCAGATGAGACCTAAGGAAAAAGTATCGCTGTGTTTCTCGCATCTAGAGAATGCTCTGACGTTGATGCTTTGAGCCGGTTTCAAAAAATGATATTGTTGTTCACGAGAGAGCTTGGAAGCTCAGGGCCCTACGCTATGCTTTTTTGACTTGATGACCTAGACAAAAAAAAGCATAGGGATGTTATAAATTCTTTAAAAATTCCTTTTTTATAGACATAACCTGGGATTCGAACCCGCACTATCGCGCCCTGCATGCATCCCCCGGTCGTTAAAAAATTCCTTTTTTTTTAAGACATAACCTGGGATTCGAACCCGCACTATCGCGCCCTGCATGCATCCCTCGATACACTTCGCATACATACTAATTCTTCCAAGTTGCTTGACATTATGATCTTGCATTTGAAAGCCCTGTTTGAATATGCATTGTGGCCAGCCGTCTTTGATGGTACGGTACGGAAGGGATAGGTACGGGAGAGGTACGATCGAGGGTAATACGACACCGTCTCCCGTACCATACCATCAAACACAGCTGGCCACATACAGCTGCCCGCAATATTCAAATAGGGCTTTCAAACGCAAGATCATAACGTGAAGCAACTTGGAAGAATGAGTATGAATGCGTGAAAAGAATGAGTATGAATGCGAAGTGTATGGGGGAATGCATGTAGGGCGATAGTGCGGGTTCGAATCCCAGGATATGCCTGAAAAAATAGGAGAATTGAAAAATTTATAACATCCCTATGATTTTTTGCCGTCAGATACGGGATAGCGGCAGGTGTGACACAAACAAACACACAAACAAACAAGCAGGATTCAAGCAGGTCTCTTTCTGCACAACTGCAGCTCAGTTGTACGCACTACGCCATTTCCCGCCTCAGATCTGCACCAAAATGATGTAATCACGGAATTCCGCCGTGACAGACACCATGGACACGCATAGCAGAGAAGGCCCCAAGCTACACACTCTGGTTTTCATGTACTCTTGCTATCTCTTGTCTCTCTCTCCCATAATGTCGCCGTAGTAGTTCGTCTTTGTCTCCCTCTCCCCAATAAATGTCGTTCTACCTACCTGTCCCGTTGTCCGTTGTGTCTGAAGAATTTAGTGCAAGCTATACTTAACAGTACCATACACGTCACGATCTACGTAATTCTACTCGCACTTGGTAAGCATGGTAGAATTACGGTTCGTGCAATACAATGACGTGTTTGCAGTTCGTCTTCGGTTTGGCAAGAATATGAATTGATGGGAAGATGATTATTATTTGAAGTACGTAGGTCCCACCATGGGAGAGAGTGGAGTATTTCTATTGTTTGGGGGAAACTAGCAAGTACTAGTAGCATGATGGTTTGCTCATGTGTAGATAATTATGCCTACGTGGCCTGCTCATCCTCGCCATTTCCAGGCGCAGGCGCTAGATGCTCGCTACCATGGGGCCACCGGTGCTCTGAGATCGGCATAAATGCTTGTGTTTAGAGCTGAGGGCATGGCATAATAGTACTAACGTTAGTAGTAGCGGACAAGAAAATCGTTGCTCTTTTTAGTTGTGCTCCTGTGGCCTGCTTTCGTCCTTTGCCACTTTGTGAGGCGTTGTGACAGTGGAGTAGAAGTAGTTATTGCCTCTATCAAGCAGTAATACCCTCAGCTGATAGCAGTACGGTATAATAGTCAAGCACTAGCGTGTGCAGGCTGCCAAGCATCCACTCGGACAACGTCGGACCTATCCTTTTTGCTTCAACACAAGGGTAAGGAAAGAAACTGATAAATCTGACACTGTCAGGGTAGATTCTACCTTTGCTAAAAACGACATTATAATAACATTAGGTGAAAACTATGGATAACATGATTGTAGAGTTGTGGCAAGTGAAATCCCACACTTGCGATAGGGGACAGCGCCTCAAATGGACATCAATGATGTAATGCACTGCACTTAAGCTGCATGCATCACTGACAGATCAAAAGGTCACAGCGTAGATACACACAGTTCACAAACATGGTACACATAACTTGACATACGGAATATTGGTATCCAATCTTCATTCATTTTTGCCAGCACCGTTTGAACATTGACTTTGAACCTTGCCTGTGATGAGTTCGAGAGGCAGATAAAAGTTGTATGAAACACATGTACTATGTATGCAGGCCTGCATGATGCATGGTGCAATCCCTTATGCCAAGTGTCGAATTTCACTTGCCACGACTGTAGCATGTTGGAATCCCTTTCTTTTAATAATAATGGGATTCAGTGTTGTCCATTTTGTCCTTATCAGGATCATGGCATTGCGCAGTAAGATGATAATCAACAGCAACAACATGGATGACGCGGTAGCTGCTGCCAATGACTTTGTACTGGCTGTGCGACACAACCACGACGGCCTGGCTGATACCTACCATCGTACAGTTCGCGATGGGAACGGGCCAGCTTTGAGCGACGTGTTAACCCATATGAGTTCTTGGACTGGTACGTGTCGTTTACCAGAGCTCACAGTGGACATACAGCTCACTGGTAACGGTCCATACCCGAGCAAAGAAGCGCTCATGCTGTATGCATGCGGAAAGCTGCACGAACGGTTTGCCCCAAAAAGCCGGCGGCCTAGTGCCCATGTGTCCAAGTCCTACCGAGATAACATCCATACTTTCAGTATGGATGTCACGCCAGCAGCATTGTGCGGGAGCCACACTGCTGTGCATACTGTTGCTACCTCGCCAGTCTCGCCAGTCTCGCCAGTCTCAAGACGAGCACGGGCTGTACCACTACAAAGGAATGCAACTCCGAGCCAAGCAACCGAGCCGCGTAGCGAGCAATCAGCACCTGGATCAGCTGCTGCCGGAGACGACGACGCTACAGCTGACCATAATCAAAGCAGCCTGCCACTTCGTCCCCGATGTCTGTTTCCGGCCACGGAGGTATCCCCGGCTCATGGTCCTCACTTTCAAACGCTGACAAGTACTTCAAATGACTCTGGCATTTATGGCATAGATGCCAATGCTCATGCAAGAAGCATGCGTTTATCTTTGAGCAAGACAGAGTGCTTCCCAGACTTCCACCTGGTGCTTCTTCTCCGTGGCCCAAGTGCCATCGTAAGTGTGGAGGAGAAGCTAGTGCGCATGTGTGTACGCACTGGTCTAGATTGGTTGGACGACTGCCTGGACAGCCCTGCAGAATGTGGCAGCAGCAAGATCTTGTCCTCCACACCGAGAACCAGTGAGAAGTTACCGACGTACGAGGAAATAGACGGTGTTGGATCCGTAGTTGCCGGCGGCGTCTTCGATGATAACAGCCAAGACGTTGCTCAGTTTGCAAAAACGGTCCGGGCCAAAATGACTGATCTGTGTCCTGGTGCTACTCTCTGTGACAAAAGCCATACAATCTGGTCCTTCGGTGGCAACAATAGACAGAATTTGCTGACCATCGCAGCGACGTACTCCATAGCAAATAACCGCTGGCAGGAGCATACCGATGTTGTAAGGTACGGTTGGTCGCACGGACAAGGTGTGTTATTAGATGATGATGACAGTGTGCTTTGCGTGGGCGGAAGTTACCATCCATGCGCACATCCAAAGTGTACTGATCGCTCTGTTCTCAAGTATCAGCGTTCTCTCTTTGCTACCAAGCGGCGCCAAGTACCCACGTGGGTATCTCCCATGAGCACCAGTCGTCTGGACTTCGCGCTTGCCCCTCTCGACACAGGAAGCAATGCGCTGATCGCTGCTGGCGGGAGAAGCCACAGTGGTATGTACACGAGCTCGTCCGAGATTTACACCGTGTCAGAAGACAGTTGGAGTAGCGCTGCACGCATGTCCATGCCACGTTCTTGCTGCACGGCTCAGCTTGTCAACAAGGAGCGTGTGTATGTAGTGGGTGGTGTGTACGAGTCATTTCAGTCTCCACTGGACGCCGTGGACGTGTACGACATTGGCAGTAACAGATGGTCTACGCCAGGTGGTGCACGACTGGCCAAGCCGCGCCACTCTTCAGCATCCACTGTGCTCAATGGCAATCTCTTCGCATCCGGTGGTATGTGTGACGGCAGCGTTCTATCCAGTGTGGAAATGCTAGATACGCGCGAGGGCAAGTGGCGACAACTCACGGAAATGAATCGACCGCGTGCAAACCATGGCATGGTCACAATGGCGGAGATGGGCGCCATGGGCAACATCTTTGTTTTCGGCGGATACGACGGTCGTGCCTACCTCAACACGGCAGAGTGGCATGATATGCGCTTGAATCGTTGGTTTAATTGGCAACAAATGTAACGTGTGTGTGTGTGTGTGCATAGCATGCATTCGAATGCATGTGTGTGTGTGTGTGGATAGTATGTATGTGTGTGCGCGTGTGTGTTTATAGTACTTGTGCGTGTGTGTGTGTATAGTACGTGTGTGTGTGTGTGTGTGTGTGTGTGTGTGTGTGTGTGTGTGTGTGTGTGTGTGTGTGGATAATACTTGTGTGTGTGTGTTGCTGTGCGTGTGTGCATGTGCGCGCGCGTGCGTGTGTTTATGCATTCGAATACTTGCTGCTGGGCGTATGCAGTTAATGTGTGGTGTGCCTGAACCTTAACCATTTCTTCCCATTGAACAAAATTCCGTGACCGTGCTGGCACCTTACTTCCTTTTTTGCTCTGTAGTTCAACTGCTCATTTTTCTACTTTCCTATCTTTCTGTTTGGCACGCATGAACGGTGCTGAAACCAAGACCCCTGGTTGGTTTAGCTGCTTTTGCCCCACCTTCACTGCTTCGGCTGCCATCGCCATGTGCATCACTGTGCGTTTTGGAATGTGGCCATCTTGTGAAAAAAAGTATTCGGACACTCTGTGTGTGTGTGGGGGGGGGGGGGTGCTGGTTGTCTGTATACATTGCTGTGTGTGTGGCTGTGTACTTGCACACACAATTGCATGCTATAAAGTCCAGCACTGTCAACTGTGTAATGACCTCAGGTACATACACATACTGTTTAATGATTCGAATGCAACCAACTTACTTGCACTTCATTAGTGTTCGAGGCGACGGGAGTCTGCGTCACGGCGGAGGGTCACCAATATCTCGGTGGGATCATTGGCTGTGAAGATTATTGCCATCGTGCCGGAGAGAGGTGCGTCAACAACTGGCGACGGGAGCTGATGACTCTCGCTGCAATGGCCGAAATGCAACCCCAAAAATAAAATAGCAGCAGGCCAGCAAACCCATCGAGTCCGTCGCTAATAAAAGGAACTGAACGCCCGCATTAAAACCTTACAACGCCGGCTCAATGAAGGCGACGTTACGACAAGGGAATTCCTTTCCTTTCTGGTATTGGACATAATTTAATGCATTGAAATGTGAACATCTGTATAAATTTTGAATTGCTTCGAAATGAGTTTCGTTACTTTGTGTGCTTTACATAGGGATCATGCTATAATGAGCCTGCGCTCAAATGATATTGTTCCATGTGAGTGTGGTGGAGGTTGGGGCTCGCGATCGTGAGCGCGTTGGAATGAGCCACGCGGTTAAGGGTTTCGCTGAAGTGGGGGCTTACCGGAATGGAGTCCGTCTCGGTGAGGTCTATAGTTTATTTTCAAGACTTGAAAGCAAGGGTAAACACCTTACTGCTCACAACCTGGTAGCTGCCTTGCTACAGGAGAATGGATCCCACCACAGTCCACAGCACTTTAGTAGTCGCATAGCTGGCCGACAGAACACGTAAGCGACGTCGCTCGGCGATGCAGATACCACTACAGGTGATGTCAGGCCCCGCAGCTCTGTACCAACGCCGCCGTTGCTAGCTGGCCTACAACGACCACCCCCTGTCAACTGCTGCTCCTGCTGCTTCTTCAACGTATGGATTACCGGATGCTAGAGCACACGCACCAGCGACCAATGCATCTCATGCACCAGCGGCTATAAGATCACATGCACCAGCACCCCTTGTGTCACATCCACTGGCGACTATAGCGTCAGACACGGCAGCGGGGATCACGTTCGGTGCAAGGTCTGGGCGTATGGTTCCACCAAGGGGGGGGGGGGACAATCGGCACAGCAACCGCCATCGTAAGCAGTACGGTGTCGCAGTGCATGAAGATGAGACAAGCCTCACCTCACCAAGGATGGCTAGTCACACCGAGCTAGCGGCTAGCTCTCACTAATACTAATAGAGTCACTGTGCTACCAAGAATAGCAGCGGTAGTGGTGGCCGCAGTAGTGCACATCTACCCGACAGCTATTCTGGACCCACAAGTATCCTGCAAGCACGACAACGGTTAGAGGGTATTCAGGCACAACGACAACGTGGTCAGTTCAGTCTGTCCACTGAGGTGCTGGAATCGGAATCCGGGCACCCACCCAACTCTCACAGCGCCAAAGACTCCAGGGCTGGATTTCGAGAACACGTTTCCGCCACGGGTGGCCACTACCAGCCGTAGATAGCAAACGCGGTTGTTGTAGCAGCGGCAAGGATGGTGCCAGAGCAGCAGCAGCAGCAGCCGTGTCCTTCAACACATACATACAACAATATTCCGTCTAATATTGCGTCTATATTTTTGAAACGGACAAGGTGCACATTGCAAACAGCACACACACACACACACACACACACACACACACACACACACACACACACACACACACTAATGTTGCAACCCATCCACCCAGTGACACGTATGCTTTTTATATCTTAGAAATTTCTTCTATTTCGTTTCTAACACAGGATTCAGCGAAATTATTATGATGAAAATAATATCATCGAAGACGACCGATTTAGTCGCCCAGGAGCAGCCCTGAGGTCGTCAATCAAATTCGTTGGAGGACTTGATATTTCGTACAGCAGCAACGACAGCAGCACGGCCGCTGCTGCCCTAACGATATATCACTTTCGTACCATGCAACACATGCATACAATTAATATTCCGTTAATATAACCGTCCAGTACAAACACGGCTTCTTTGAGTTTCGATAAGCCAGCCAGCCAGCCAGCCCTGGAACATCCGTTAGGAATACGGCGGCGTGCTGTGATTTTCTCTAACAGATTTGCCTGGCAGGGTAAGAGCGAAATAGACCTGTAATTCGTGGGCTCCGCTGCGCTGACTTTGTTCTTGAACGCAGGAATAACTGGGCTGACTTTAGGTTTAGTATTTTCAAGAATGTTATATTGTGATATTCTACAGTTGGAATACATCACAGTCAAATACTTGGTAAGTTCAAACGTGATATAAGGAGCGCAGTTTCAAACGTTAAAGTTTGAGACCTTGACTTAATGATGTTGATAGACGGTCACAAGAAGTTCATCTTTCTTGTATATGTATTAACTGATCAAGATAACGGCGACACTGATCTTGTCCCTGTGATAGAAGTGTGTGAGGACTGCGACGCTGATGTCGAGGATGAGGAGACAGAAGACGTAGAAGTCGTCCGACAACATTCAGCAGGAGAGGAAGATTATACTGAGTTAGTTTGTGGACTTTAACACATACATACATTGAGTCCCTCTAATTTCCATGTTTTGCCTTTTATAAGTCTTTCTGCCCAACAATTTTAATAATATTAATTGCTGTTACTCCAACATCATTCTTGTTTTCACTGCTGAGGCGGCTCGGTAAGCAGGAACAGCCGCAGCAGGGCCGGATTTCGGAGCCATGGCACCACCAAAACTCAGAGCGTCAATTACTAACTACATCAACAACATGCGGGAACACAGCAACATGAAGCAAACGTCATCACAGAATAAATGCAGCCACCCTAACCATCCTACCTAGCACCGCAAAAGGAGACACACACTCATCGACAGGCTGTCGAGAAGCCGCCTCTACCTGAACTGCTGTAGCTTCCAACAGTATGAATGCCGAGAAATATTACTGGCAAAAGAACCAATGACCATGTCGCCATAGTTTTGTTTGGCCGTCGTGTGGCCAATTCCATCTGTGTATCATGTTGTTTCTTCAATATTTTCATTCGAATTTTGTTCCATCAATATGTTGTCAATCGTTATGTCAATGGAGACGTCCGAACTGATGTTTTCCTTCTCGTTGACGTCGATGCATCTTCGGACTACGACGCCGATAAAGAAGAGTTTGGCGATGAGTTTGACGTCGTCCAGTAAAAAGAAAGGAAGCGAAGAAGAAAGGCGAGAAGAAAGAAGCTATTAGATGCTGCTCGCGCTTTGCAAGAGTATGACGCCGATGATGAACACTCAGAGGAAGATTGTAGGTTTAGTGTTTCCAAGAATAAGTTATATGGTGATATTCATCAGTTGGGAAACATCACTGTCAAATATTTAGGAAACTAGGAAGTTCAAATGTTCTGTACATGTACCGGTATAAGGAAAGCAGTTTCATGGAATCGAACATCCTAATGTCTGCAATACCAGGTGTGCACGACGATGCTAAAATGATCGTCAAACCACAGGGGTAGTATCGACGCTGGTATGCGGCGGGGTTTCACGCCACCCCATGCTCGTGGTATTGACGGATGGTCATCAGATGTTCAATTTCCATGCTTTAACTGTCCAGGACAATGACGACACTGATGTTATCCTTAAAAATATGGACCTTTATGTATATAGTGTATATAGTATATAGTATGGACCTTTCCATGAAAGGCTGGACACCCTTTTTAAACCTATTCTGCTGCCTTCATTTGGCCACGGAGAAACCATAGTCCCTCGAACTATAAAGTTTGAGTTTAGCCTGACTCAGCAGCACCTTGCCATAATGGTGTTGATGAATGGTCATCAGAATTTCATTTTTCATGTACATGATTGTATTCACTAATTGGGATAAAGGTGACACTAATTTTGTCCTTGTCGTAGAAGTGTGTGAAGACTCGGACTACACGCTGATGTCCAGGATGAGGGGACGGATGATGTTGAAGTCGTCCAATACCAGTCAGGAGGAGAGGCAGATTATACCTTTTGTGATGCAGATTATGACGCCGCCGATGAAGACGAATACTAGCAAGAAGGTTAGGATCAAGGTGAAGCTGAAAAACCCAGCTGTCATATGGCAATCGCGAGTACCAATGGTGAGGTAACCATGCGTTTTTACAATACATGTAGTAACAAACATGCGAGAGCAATGTGAATGTGGATTGTACATTTAAAAAGAAGAAGAAGTTTTCAGAACGGTTTTCTTGTAACGAACTTCAGTGAACACACATGTCCGTAGCTTTGGATGGAATACTTAATCAAACACTATTATAGGAAAGAAAAAGAGGTGCGGAAAACGAAAAAAGAACTAAGCAGCTAGAATGGCACTAAATTGCATTTTTGTCCCCTGGTGCGAGGTTTGCTCGCCACTGTTGTGCTTCTAACTTTCATGCAGATTTTAGTGCCAAATATTTGGGAAGAGAAACGGAATAATTGTCCAATCTCGGCGAACGCCTATCAGGTTGATCTCCTTTTTGAACATGCGCATATGT